GGCCATGATACACAGCTCTATGATGAACCCATTAGATAATGAAGCTTTGACACAACTGGGTCCAGGACACACTACCTTGCCACATATCTGTTCTTAAACATTCAAAAGCATGAATTTAAGAGTCTTGAGGCTCAGATAGCACGTCTTTGAGAAGGCATTCAGAACCACATTTGGTTGTTTAGCTTATTACATCAGTTCAAACCCATTAAGCTGTAATTATTGGTGTATAACCACCAGATGGGAAGCTGGATGGGGTTTCATGACGATCACTGCACAGCTCCCAGCAGTCAGTGAGGCATGATAAAGAGACTATTGTTCTGAGTTGTGCTGCAGTTGACATTACTGCACAGAGAGACATAAGCTTTGGGGATGCTGCTCGTCAGTTCAACACAAACTGCAGTGAAACTTCTGCAGCCACCAAGAACCACAAATCAACTCCAACCAGGTCAACAGAAAGCTGGGATATTTGACCAACTGAGACCAGGCCAACTTTCTGTGACCATTACTTGTCAAGCCTGGCTTATCTGTTGTCAGTAAGTCAATGATTGCTTGAGACAGGCAATGGGAAGAACTGCTAACACTACTGGACATCATGAAAAGCCAGTTTACCCAATTCAAGTGATTCAACATTTGACAGCTGCTGAGATGTTACAGGAGTACAGGGGGATGACAGGAGTAGTAGTGTCATGGTAGTGTGGTGCTACAGGGAGCCATCATAAACTAATTTCAGCAGCGCAACAATAATGGGTGTGGCCCCACTAGATGTGGGCAGTAGGTGAGTAGTAGTCATAAACACATGTTGTTGGTCCTGTTACTGAGAATGTCTTGTTCATGTAATAATATAATATGATAATAATAATAAATTTATATAGCGCTTAGTATCCATCTGACTAGATGCTTACTGGATGCTGTAATCACAACTTCAGTACTTTCTGAGCTAACATGTCCCCATTGACAACAGTACATTATATAACAAGGGCATAACTGTACCAAAAAATAATTTGTCACTGATTTTCTTATTCTGACTAGACAAGTGTCTCCAAGAAAACCATGCAATCTTTTATTCATGTATCTTTAGTATTTTCTAAGAAAACTTGACCCTATTTCATGAAGTTTGCATTAAGATAAAAAGCATGGAGCAAGGTCCAAACCTCTATGAAATATATATTGAAGACACCAATTTTCTAAACTTATTTCACATAGTGACCAGTCAAAGTGCTAATGTGAATTTTCCAACTTGATGTAATTTTTAGGATAAAATTGATATTAAATACTTATCCTAACTATACGTTGTTGCTTTATCTCCCTTTCCTCCGAGGTACAGTGGAAACCTCTGTCTTATTGTTCTCTAATGAACAGTCTAAAAATAGCTCACCCCAAATGGGCCTCTCTTGTTCCCGAGCCAGCGTCCCACGTGACTACTGGCTATGTGTACCATTATAATGCCCAACTATATTGACCGAAGCCAAATAGTGTATGAGAGGGGATGGTTGGGAGGGCCCTTAGACTATGAGTCAGGGTAAGTAAAAAATATCAACTTTATCATAAAAATAATATATTTTTCCTTATCCTGACTCATACGTTATTGCTTGAATCCAACGGATAGGTGGTGGGTCTATTTATTTGGACTCAGATACTGTTAGATCCACCCCATGAGAACTCTTCAATCTTCTGATACTGCGGCTATAAGATGGGGGACTACCTTCTTTTAATTAAAAAACCCCATAAATAATACGTTTTGAGGATTTTGTAAGACTCACAGGGAATTAGATTCCCGTTTGTCGATCCATATGTTAAGAATAGGTTGTAAACTTAACTGAATCGTATCACCCATGCGCTGCTTTATCTTGTAAAACAGGGGGCATGGACTCTCTGTCAGTGGTTATGGAACAGTAACCTAATGTCTACGAGTCTATGTGATTATGGGTGAGTATTTAATGCCTAGTTGGGACTGTCAACTGCTGTGCCGCCTCTAACCGGCCGAACTGATGGATAACAGATACATCTTCTGTGGCAATGTCCCTAACATAGTGGTTGGTGAGGACAGATTCCGATCTCCAGAAGCAAACTTCTATAATGGACGAGATGGAGCAGTTGCTGTGTAGAGCTAGTGTTGACACAATGGCTCTTACTTTATGAGGATTGGAGGCTCTAGGTGGATCCAGTCCTGCTGTTTTGTAAGCCCAGGTGATAATGGGATGAAGAGTCTTTGAATCTTCTTCTCCTCACATCAGTTCTCTGCAAGTAGATTTTCAAAGTTCTAACTGGGCATAACTCCAAGTACCAAGTGTCGTCCGATCTGAGGATGGATGATAACACAGGGATGTGGAACTGTAATCTGGTTGTCCTGGTAGCTGGTTCTTTGCGATGAAGTCCCATCTAAGCCCAAGAAGAACTGCTGGATGGTCACCAATATTGAACCTAGTTCGACTGTAGTCTGGAACATGGATTTCTGACATCCTGGCACCTGTAGCAAGTGTGAGGAGGAACAGCGTCCTGTGAGTTAGCAACTCAAAGTCTGCTTGAAGCAATGGCTCATAATGGTCGCTGGTTAGGTGTTGAAGGACTATGTTCAAGTCCCATGCTGGCACCTTAAACTTCCTCTGCTGGTCTTCTAGCATGAAGGATCTCAGCAGTGCGATGAGCTCTGGGACTTTGGTGAGTTTCACTCCCGAGTTTATGGTGGGGATTGAGCTGATGGACGCTAGGTACATAGACAGGGTAGAACCTTTCAAATGTCTGGTAGCTCTCATATGACACAAGTATTCCGCCACTTGAGGATACGTAGCCCTAGCTGCTGAGAACCCCTTAAGAGCTGCTTACTGGTCAAAGCTCTTCCACTTGTCATCACAGAGATTTCGGGTAGAGCGTTTGAGAGTTAGGGTAACGGCCTTGGCTACTCTAGAAGAGTACCCTCTTCTTGAGAGGCAGTTAGTAATATGTTCCATCTGTGAAACTGGAAGCCCTCAGGATTGGCATGAGCCTGTCTTGTGTGTGGATGAATCAGTAGATTGGGCCATTTCGGAATTAGTACACTTGGCTCTCCGAGAAGTCTGATGAGGTCTAGAAACCATGTTCTGGATGGCCAGTAGGGCACTACCAAAATCAGTCGCAGTATCTTCGTCTTGGTCATCTTCATTATGACTCATGGTAGTAGTAAGGGAGGCAGGAATGCATAGGCATGGACACCTTTCCAAAACATGGCTAGGGACCAGGCTAGTGGATCTGGAACCGGTGAGACGAAAGTCTTTATGTGCTTGTTGAACCTTGTCACAAAGAGGTCTACAAGTTGGCAGCCCTGATTTTGCACCAGTAGTTAAAATGCCTTTGGATGCAGCATCCATTCTGTTGGAAGATGGCTTGATGGGTCTGAACAACGCGTCTGTTAGGACGTTGACAGCATCTGGGATGTGTCTGGCCTATACTTCCAAGTTGAGATTGTCTGTGAGCTTGAAGAGGCGGAAGATCAGTTCTGGCATGGGCACTGACCTTGGCGTGCCTTGCAGGTTAATGTAAAATGCTACTGCTACGTTGTCTGTTCGTATCATCAGGAATTGGTTTCTAAAGGAGATGGGACCAGTGATAGATGCCTCTGACTGCCTTGAATTCCAGCTGGTTGATGTGAAGATCTCTGGATCAGTTCCCTGCAGTTACTTCTGTGCTGAGGTGAGCTCCCCAGCCTTGGAGTGAGGCGTCTAGGTAGAGATGTAGATTGTAGACCGCCTCTTGCAAATAGGTGCCTCCGCAAACCTTTCAATCTGACCACCCACCACTGCAGGTATTTTTTCAGGTATAGAGGTAATGCTACATTCTGACGATCTTGGTGTGGTCTCAGGAACCTCTGAATGGGCCTCTTTCCGGGTAAGAGCCTGCGCTGATGTGAGAAGACCGAGGATCTCTTGAAGGTGTCTAAGAGGAGGCCTTCTCCGACAATTTCTTATGGGATGATCTCTTCAATTTCGCCAGCTTAAGGAGAATGGACCCTGCCCCCGAAGGAAACTTCCTCTTAGCACGGGATGACTGGGTTCTCGGGGTTAGCTACTATATCTTGAGAATCCTGTGAGGGAATCGCCATAGAGGACTGGAATGAAGCTGAATTAATATTCAAAGGTATAATTTCATCCAGGGGGAAAGTAATGTAACAAACTCATGTTCAGGTTGTTTTTGAGATTTGCAAACTGCTGATCTCGTACTTTCCCCTTTTCTTGTCCATCCTTTTCCTCAACAAAGATAATCAATAATTATCAAATTCTATAATAAATAAATGGGCTAAGGCTGCAGGTAGAAGAACGGCATGAACAGCATGCAAGATGTGGATCGTAACTAGATAGCCTTATCTGCATACACAACACGTTTTCATAAGTAAACACCGCTCTGAAAACAATGAGAAAAATCCAATAAATTAGATGCTAATACATAAATATAAACCATGAATATGATGTCAAAAGGACATAAGAAACATATACAAGCAGTAATTTTGATTTATAGGCCGAAATATAGGAACGGTAGCTTGTATAAGGACTAGAGGAATCCATCCAACTGTCCGGTACACATAGCCAGTAATCACGTGGGACGCTGGCTCAGGAACCAGAGAGGCCCATCTGGGGTGAGCTATTTTTAGACTGTTCATTTGGGGAAGAGGTTTCCACTGTACCTCGGAAGATAAAGCAATAACGGATGAGTCAGGATAAGGAAAAATGATAGTATTTTATAGAAAATATGTCTCCATTGAGAATCAGACTGATAAAACGTCAGGACAGGTGAATGGAAAGGCAGAAGGACGAAATCTCTTCCTATATCCCTTGGCTCCCTTTAAAGTTCCAAAAGATTCAAGACCACAATTGCTCCTAAAAGCTTCCCAACATAGCAACTTCCACATCACTGCTCGCATGAGATAGCAACTCATTTGTGACAAACTATGGTTGAAACAGATTGTTATGAATGTCTACTAAATGTATAACAATGTTTACACTGCCACATAACACCAATAAAAACTTTACCTTGTTTCTCCCATTGTGTCTTGAAGTTTGCGATGAAGACTATGACGAAGATCATTAGGATTCTCATTAACACGTTCCAGTCTCTTATATGATATTCTTTCTTCATTTGCTCTGTACTTTGCTTCATATCTTGGGTCTGGACGGGGATCCAGTCTATGTGAGAAAAAATAAATCAAACAATCATTGCAAAAACCAAAAATAAAACCCAAATATGGCATAATAGCAAAGATATAACAGGATATATGGCAGTGATGTAAAAGAGATAGAGTATACACAAGAATATCAACCTTTTGTCATGGTCTGGTTTTATGAAGAGAACATTTGCCCATCATTTCTCCTTCATGAAACTGACATTAAACAGCTGTGATACTTCTTTGAGTGGCATTTAGAAGCTGGCACGATGAACAGGAACAGTTGTATAGACAACTTCTTTATTGCAGTGGATGTGACATTACGGTATAGATGCTAACACTTTACCCCCGGTTTCCCAACATTTCTTAAAACAACAAGTTGAGTCAGGCAGAGAACAATAGGAGGATTAGTTGGGGCATTCCAACTTTAAGGGTGTCAGGTACGTGAGTCCGGTCCTGATATCAACTCACCTATCACAGTGGGTAGCGGTCCCAGGTAAACTGTTCTGGTGAGCTGTCTCTCACTGTTGCTCACACTTATTTCCCTTATCAGTGTCATACATGTTCACCAATCATATCCAGTTCACCAATCATTGTCAATCATTATATGATACTTCAGAACAATATTCATCAATTTTCAGAGATCATATTAATCATCAATGTAATTCAAAGGATGATATATATAAGGTTAATGGAATTCAGTCAGTCATTTAACCAATCTGGACCACAGGAAACATCCCATCTTCTTGGAAAACAGCTAAGGTGGTGCCAATCCTAAAGCCAGGGAAACCCATCAACTCCCCAGATTCATTTCGACCTATATCACTCACTTCACATCTATGTAAATCACTTGAGTCTATAGTAAATAATAGACTAAAACACCAAATTCTAACCCATAACTTAATCAAGCAGGACCAGAGTGGCTTCACTCCAAATAGGCAAACTTAAGATCATATTTTACATTTGGAGCATGATATAAAGGTAGCTCAAGCACAAAAACAATACACGCTGGCCATTTTTATTGACTTTAGCAAAGCTTTCGACATGATCTGGCACTACGGCCTTATCCAAAAATTACAGGAAAATGCCATACACGGGCGTATTCTAAATTTCATACAGGCATTCCTTAACAACAGACAAATAATCGTCAAATCCCACAACACCGACTCGGATCCTTTTCCACTAGAAAATGGAACCCCCCCAGGGGAGCATAATATCCCCAACATTATTCAATTTCATGATTAACGACATATTCCCAGACAAGTGGCCAGAAATTTCTACTGCAAAATTTGCTGATGACATTTCTTTTTGGATATCATCCACTTCAGGAAACCAAGCCACAATCAAAACTCAAAGAATGCTAAATCACATCCAAAACTGGGCCCAAAATTGGGGGTTCCACATTAACGTCAAAAAAACCGTGGGCATCTTATTCAAAAAGCAAAGAATGCAAAATTATACACCCAAACTCCGCCTTAATAACCAGGAAATCAAGTTCGAAAAAGAGGCAAAATTTCTAGGTGTAACGTTTGACCAACACATGACATGGACTCCCCACATTAATAATTTGGTCAACTCATGTCAAAAAGACTTAAATCTCATGCGAGCTATCAGTGGTACAAACTGGGGAGCCGACAAACACACACTTATTAACATATACAAAACTCTTATACAGTCTAGACTGGATTACGCTGCTCCGGTCCTCCACTCCATCTCCCCATCCAACCTACAAAAACTTAATTCTATACAGTATAAAGCCCTTAAGCAAGCCCTTGGCACTAGGACTGGCACCTCCCACAACACTCTTCTCCTACTTACAGGCATCCCTTCAATCAAAACACGTAATAAACCAAACTGCACTCAATTACTGGGCTGGGGCCCAACACAACCCAATATACAAACTTATTTCAACTAAATACACCAACACTAAAAAATCCACTATTAAAAATTTAAAAAACAACCCAAACAAAGCCCCTCTACACACTCACCTCAACAATCTGCTTCATTCACAACACCTAAATACCATCCAGCACACACCTCCCATAACAAGCTACATTCATGACAAACCTCCACCCTCTACAGATACTACCCTAGCAGAAACACTTCAAAATCTCCCTAAAAACACTGACACTCACACCAAAACAAACCTCATCCAAACCCACATCAACCTAAACTACCCCAACCACCCACCAAGCACGCTCAACCCTCTCCGCTCACAGCCAACACATTACATAACACCCCTGCCACCCACCCTCTCAACCAGTCTATTACCGCCACAACCCACACCAAATCCTATATACCCAAGCAACTTTTCTACCGTCCACCTCTCCCCATTCCCAAATTTTACTCATCTGCCACACCTTAAACTAAACTAGGCACCAATCGCCCTAACTACCATCCACAGCCTCCCTCGGAGACACTTACCGCCTTCTTTGCCCCTACCCCACCCCCCCGTTACAAACCAGTTTTTCTTTCTTTATTAGGTGCCCTATTTCTAACTAGTACAGCTTAACTGCACCATTACCAATTAAGCCCAAATATGCTATACAAATTAACCAGCACCCCACCACAAACTTTATGCTATACTCATTCAAACTCTATTATTAACAACTGCTTTATTTTTCTCTCTCTCTCTTTATAATTTCAGCTTTTTATTTTATTTATATTATATTTATAACTGTTTTATTCTAAAATTAGTTAAGTTTAATCCCCCAAATTTACATTTTTTTGGGTATGGTGGTTTATTCCTATTAACACATTATTAATTAATTTATATCAACCCCACCTACCCCGTCGGCGACATTGGCTATGCTAAAAGCCGACGTTAAACTATTAATTTCGTTCGTTCATCAGTCACAAATGCTATCGACAAACGTGGAACCATCATGACACCATTGGCCTTAGAAGCAGCAACCATGTAGAGGGTTGGCACAATAAGTTGAGAAAGATCATGGTCTCGCCTCATCTCAACCGCTACAAGATCATGGAGAGTAGTAGATACAATGATTGTCCGGGACCAAGTCCAACAAAAGCCTCTGCAAAGCCTTATTTCACAAATACAGCTTTTGTTAGGCCCTTAGATCTCACCAACCATTGTCTACTACTTTTGAACCCCCAGTTAACTTCCCGACCCCACGTGGCACTACTGTGCCGCTATGTCACGTTGACCTCGATGAAACAGTTTAATGTGAATCGCCTATGATCTCTTTGGTGTTCGTAATAAAGGCTTGCTGGGCTTTTCGTACCCCCTGTTCTATGTACTTTTTTTTCTCGTCTTACGCTGATAGCAGACTTACGAGACTTGGACCGGATTTCTTGTTTCAGCTTACGGTACTTGTCGAGTTCAGAGAGGATTGAACGAAATTCCTCCTCTGAGATCTTACTGTCAGTGAGTGCCGTGGAAATACGCTCACTTACCGTGTTCAGCTTTGCTTCGGCTAGAACCCTGATCTCGTCGTGTTTTAACGCTTTACGATGCAGTCTGCAGGATGCAAACTTAAACACCAACCCTGCCACCCCTACCACCCCAGCTGTTATTTCAATGCCTAGCACTATAGGTGCGGCCACGATGGTGGCTAACAACCCAACACCTGCCGCCCCTAGTCCCATGCTGGTTGCCATAAGGGCAGTATCAGTCCCGTCCACGATATTGAAAGCTCTATGGTATTTCTTATATAGTGCTTTTCGCGTGTCGCGGTCTTGTTCTAGTTGGCGTTTTACATCACATAACTGTCTCAAGCGGAACCTGTCTACGGTTTCTAGGGTCTTCGCGACTTCCTCTACGACTGGGTACAGACCCATACTGTGTGTATAATATATCTTATGAAACATTTTTTAATTGGGTTTCATTTAATAGTCGATCAATGTACTTGAAGCTTGCAAGATGTAGATCCTCATGAATGGAAATAGGTGAGAGATTAATAGGTAACTCTGCGTCCACACGAGGCCCCCATTGGCTTACTAAGGGATCTATATAACCTGTGGAGGGGTCTGGTTGTATGGCGATCACGGAAACGCCTTAGTCGTTTCACGGTGCCAAAGTGTATTGTTACCCCAGGTAAAAGTTGTTCTATACTATTAGAAGTTGTCCAGAGATAGGCTTCTATAATGAGTGTTGAGCCTGGCTCCACAGTAGTAGTTTGTTGCTCGTAGAAGTCAAACTTTAACTTACTCTTCCCGGATGCAAATAACATGTTGCTATTGGAATCTGGTGCTACCCGAACTTTTACAACAGGCCCCGGAACGAAAGACCCGAGGAGTAAACCGTTGTTCTTAATTTCGGAGACATAATTATCTCTTTTAAAAGATATATAAGGTGTGGTGAGGGTCATGTTGATCAACCATGCAGGCTCTTTAAAATCTGATAACGACACCCGCCTATACCGTTGTCTTTCAAGTGCAGGATGTATAAGGTGTCTTCCTCACCAGGCTGATCGAATCCCTCCGTGTCTCCTAGATCGTTAAGTGTGGTGTTGGGCCGATGATTGGCCATTGCTATATTACTATTACGAGATAGTTTCCAATTGTTTTTCTGATAATTTCTCAGGGGTGCACTTCACCCCCATGAAGTGTATGTTGTCGGGTAGGAAGATCTTGGTGAGTGATATCGTGTCTTCCACGGTCACGATGACCCCCTGCAGACTGGTGTGGGAGTCGACACCCACCCGCACGTAAACAGTGCAAACCTGATACTGGTGCTGTTTCACCCACCCGAGTTTAACCCCCTTCACTATTTCGACTTCATCCGTCGATGGTTCCCCTAGGTAGACTTTGATGATCAGAGTAGCATTCTCCGGTAGACTCGCCAGGACGTTGACCACGCCAGTGAAATCAGACACCAACTGCAATGCCCCATCTTGCACTCCCGGTTTACTCGATAGCATGTGGGCTGCCATACTGGCGACTGGGCTGATGACTACGCTACGTCTCTGAGCCGGGACGTAAGCCACGAGCAGGGTTCCGTTGTTCACGACTTTGTTTAGGTAGTTGTCTTTGTTCTCCGTGAACACGTAGGGGGAACCG